GCGACACCCTCATAAGTGTTACGGAGTTGGAGGGTTGGGTAGGGTATTCGGTTAGGATTCACCACAAGTTGGAGATGCAACCAAAAGTATGTAGTGTTTATTTGCTGTTTATTTAATTTCTCGATAGCCAGCTATCGAAAGAACATATTCATTTTGTTTAGTGATCATGAATTTTAAGAGTCATGACGGAGAGCTTGGTATTAAACCCATGATTTTCTGCTCAGTAAGCAAAAACGATCCCTCCAGGGTCATCGAGCATCTCAGAACCATAACGCTTCGCGGCAATACAGAACTACGTTTTCGCTTGATATGCAAATAGTTTCCGAGGTTAATGTTCAATATCAAATATACAAATGATGGTGGCGATTTATTGTGCTGTGGAAGAGCTTGGGGTTAAATTCATGATTTTCTGCTCAGTAAGCAAAATCGATCCCTCCAGGGTCATCGAGCATCTCATAATCCACAGCGCTTCGCGTCAAAGTACGAATATATGGATGAACTATTATTGAATAACTATTATTTACGATGATTACATGAAAGAAATAAAATATAAACTACAAACTACTAAAATCTCAAAAAGATATTATCACAAATATATTTCACGCAACCAGGAATCTCAAAACCATAAGACGCTATAATGATACTCTGAACATGTTAGACACAAGAAGAGACCAAAAATCAAGCGTCCGTCACACAAAACCCGCCAAATCCACTGGCAGTCACAATCAACGATTCTACGAATCGCGAGCGCTCACGGATCATAAAACCACTGACTGCGACACTCTGAAAGCGAAATTGACAGGCTCTATGCGTCAAACACCCGCCCTCCAATCTCCTCCCGCATCCAACAACACAAATCTCCATTACAACATCTAACGAATTCAAAACTCCGAAAATCATTCATCTATAGTAAGTGAGTGGAAGCAACCCTGCATGCAACCATTCTTCATGATACACTTTTTCTGCCTATCTTTCTATTAGGCCTGTGAACATGCGTTAGCTTCGAAACTTCTAACAAAACTGGAAAAATTTCAGATCACAAAAAAAAACTTGAAAAAAACTTTCAAAGCTAATTACAAGTAAAATAAATATTGATTATTTTACGCAAAACGAGCAAGTAATATTAAATCTTTTGTATCGTATGCTAATGCTAATTGACTGTAACAAAAATAATATATTTAAATAAAATAAAATATTAATAAAATTATATGCAAAATTTACTAAAAGATCAAAAAAAAAATATGTCAAGGTATGTATGTATGCTAAAATTTAATAATGATTCTATCTGATTCTATCATAAATGTGCGTTTCATTGATTCTAATGATTGGTTTTGTTACAAGAGATTGACCCTTCATTGGTTTATAGATATTCGACACAAAATAAAATAAAAGTATATTTATGCACAAAAGGTGTGATAGGAAGAAGCCTAAGACTTTTTAAGAATAAGGCCCGTATAAACCTGAATACACAATATTCTGTTGTGCCAAATGACAGGTTTTAGCACTAGTCAGAATTTAATCAATTCCAACTTATATTATCCGTTCAATCCAATGAAATCATAAAATTCATGCTTCCAGCTTTGTTTTAGCAATAGATTCAAGTTAGAAGCAACTGGTCAAAACTATATGGATAGCATTAAGAGAATACAAAGGTAGATCGTTGATCTACTGAAACCAGAACCATGCTGCAAATTAATATTGTTCTAAGTTACACTTTCCAGACACTTTCCTGAGTAGCTTCCAAGGGGTCAATGTCACCCAACTCGTTGACCCAACGCTGGAGTAGAACCTCGTTGCAATGATCACACAACAAACTTAAGAACAAAGCTATCGAAAATAAACAAATTTAAATGTTTAACTTTAACCAGGCAACTTTTCCACAATTAATGCCGTCATAAAACTAAACGGTTCAGGATTAAGCAAAATAGCTTTTTTTTTTCATTTCTCAATAGATTTAATCTGCCACCTAAAACTTGGCCACAGTATAAAAACAGTTTCGATCATATTTTGGTAACTACTTCATTTGAATGATAAGGAAATTTAATATAACCTAAATAATTTTTGACCAAAATAATTTCTATATCTGTATTTTTTTATAAATGTATATGAAAGCTGATGATATGAGTAAAATTTCAGCTAATTTGGATTATTGACCATTAATAAATAACTGATTTCTAAAAGGTACTATGCTTATAGTATGCTTATAGCCTTAATGTATGCTTATAGCCTTATAGCCTTTTACTAAAATTGCTGAAGGCTCTTACAGACTCCGGCATAGTATAGTATAGTATAGTATAGTATGCTTATAGCCTTAATGTATGCTTATAGCCTTATAGCCTTTTACTAAAATTGCTGAAGGCTCTTACAGACTCCGGCAAACCTATGGTGATAAATCTTGCAAATTTGATCAAGTATTATAAAATATTTCGGTCATTTTGATGCAAATGCAGAAAAATTACAGCTCTTCGATCTTTTTGGGAAAAAATTCAATGTTATTTCTTTATATCCAGTACTTTAATGGAAAATTTTATAGACAAATCTGAAATATATCGACATAAAAATTACAGCAAACTTGCCTTACGTCATTTTGAAAATGTTATCGAGAGTTGGTATTTGGGAACAAATATCTGTTTTACTGATCGTACAAGCTTAAGTTTTCTGATGAAGTCATTGCAAGTAGCGCACAAGTGTCCATTCGTATCGCGATTTAAAATTTTGACGATATAACACTTTCATACATATTTGAAAGAATTTTAAATGTAGCTTTATTTTTCCAACTATACAACAATCGGATAATTTCATTGTTTACTTCCCTGTGTTTAATGGGAAAGTTCAAGTTTATTGAAAACACATCGGATATTGATGAAATTTTCTAGTGAAAATAGCTTAAAAAAGGGTTTTGATTATATAAAAGTAATGAGTGGATGTGTTATCATGCTGAATCGAATTCGCATTAAGTTTTTGAGTACTTTTTCACAAAAGTACTGTAAACCAAAAATATGACGAATCTGAACGGAAGTTTAATGTATGCTTACATCTTCCGGCTCATCTAATATTCAACTAGAGGATGTTATAAATTTGTGCGTTCTCTTTTAGAAGCTGGAACTTCATCGAGTAAATGAAGCATTTATTTTTCGCAACATTATAGGAGAACAAAGGAACCATGCTTGGAAAATCCGTTCAAAATCAGGGTTTAAACGCATCGCCAGGACTCCAAAAGTGCTGGAACTTAAACGTGCGTGGCACCCTTGGTGCCAGCTGTGATTAATGTTGGTGACAGATATTTTTATTTAAGTATGATAAGTTGATGGTTATATATGTAGTATATGTGAAATGTACTGATATCAAAAATTCATGCAAACTTTCCAAATATCCGTTTTTTAAGTGCAGTTACTCCGAATCACCATGTATATCTATCAACCTTTGAGTAAGTGATATTTATCACATTGTAAACCAAAATATGGTGGAAAATTGCCACATCGGGCTATTTATACGTTATGAATCGAATGACATACTTTAAAATAAATCACAATATTTGGAATGAATACAGTAATTTTAAAAATATATCTTTATGGACCATAGCATGTTACATTTACGAAAGGCACTAAAATCTTTTTTTTTATGTTAGTATGTTAAAAATTAAAAGCTTTGTAGGTTTTTTTACACTGTATATATCTCACGTGTAAAACAAGACATGAATGTATTAAAATGTGATTTCATGTTTTCAAAAAAACAGTGATCACTACATGATTATATTTGTTGCTATATAATACGTGCTCGTTTGTCATTTGTGCTTTTATCTTCATCTTACATGTTTAATTTTCCAGTATACTCAAATTCTTGCAAGTTGAATATAAATTCGATAATCGCTTGGTTAATACTTGAGTATCATCACACTGCAATCGTTAATCACTGATCAATATGGTTAACAGCCTAAAAAGGTTAGCTTAATAAATATATTTCATTATTGTGGAGTCACGCTTCTTAGAAAAAACGTAGTGCTAAATTTAAGTCTATATCTTATCGTAAAAAATAAGCCTTCTCAAAAGTGACGTGACGCTACATATAAGCTATCAGTTGGCAGAAATGTAATGGTTTTAAGTTTAGTATTCGATTTTTTAAGCAATTTGGAGCTTGTAACACTCCGTCATCAAACTACGCAGCACTAAATACTGCAGTGCTCATACGTGATCCCAGGTAACACGAAAGATTGATGTCATTGAATGTTATGCAAGATGATAGCATTGAAGGAACTTGATAAGCTGCTAGCATGCGTATTAAGGACACAATCTGGTTGCTTCTATAAATGTTGCATAAAATAATATTTTATGGTATTATGAAATCATAAGGTGTTGTAATTATATTTTGTATTTGTAAGTAACAATAAGAAGTTAAAAAGTTTGTGTGTTTACGGCTAAAAATCCCGATAAGAAGAAAAAAAAAGATGAGAAAATCGCTGATTGTGACTCTTTGAAAGCAAAAGTGGCAGGTTTTATCTGTACAACATATTCATTACAACCTGTTATTCTAACTTAAAAAAATAAAATATCATTAAACATCTTATGATTCCATAACACCATAAAACAATGTTTTATACCAAATGGATGGAATTAAACCTGTCTACCACCACCTCCATGGAATGGTATTTCCTACGGTGCATTTATTAATTTTCAAATTTGATTAGATTGTATCTTCGTGATAAGATAGCATGTAACCGTGGAAACGTTCAAAGAGTAAGCGCAAATTGAAGTTTTTGCATGGCATGCACGACGCGGTTCATTCAGCTCTTTCATTATTGATTTAATTAACACAGTTTGCTTTCCCTCGTCCCTACTGTTGACTGTGCAAAGATGTTTTCCACTGCAACAGAATCTACTTGTGTTGTTGACGACTGACATGTGAGTGATGATGGAAAAGAACCCAGCAAAAAATACAGATTGCTTACAAAGAAGAATGATTTCTTTTATCATCTGTTTTATGCCCTGAAACTAGATTCTTACCTTGAAAACACGCTTATTTCCTTAAATCACGTCTAATAGAACGACGAATCTGCTACTCCTATGTCTATATAGCAGCGTTTAACGAAGGTCGCTTGCTTTTTTCTTTACAATTTCGTCAAATGCCTACTCTGTTTTTTTTTCCAGCAGCTGACAGTAAAGAAACATAACTGATATGAACATAAAATAAATTGCACTTTTTCCACTTCGGCCCAAACCAACCACCGCCCGACCCGTCTGCAAGTTTAGGTTCAATTTATCAAGATTTCTTCTGCTCTCACTCATCGGTCTTCCGTGAGCTCTGACAAATAGATTCCACTTCCTTTTTGCACCGGCAAGTTGCTGCAGCGGTTATTAAACGGACCGCACTGAAATTCCACTTCCTGTATTGTCTCGCGCACAACCATAAGCCGTCTTTTATGCTGCCCAATAAATTGGACCCACAATCCAATGACACATCTTCCTAAAGAATCAAAGCACATCAAATCAGCAACAGAACGGAAGTTGTACTATTTTTATATCCTGTTATGAGCGTAGTTAGTTTTCAGCATAGCGAGGAAATTCCGTGTGCAAGCAAGAACAAAGAACGAAAGCGGGAAAGCATCGCTAGTTTCAAAAACACTACAATTGGTTCATCTTCCTTTTCCGCTGATAGCCAGACGGCGAACACTATGAACTTATGTTGCACTAAACAATAGAACAAGCGCTAGCTAGCTGCGAATGAAGCGAACAGAGAAAATAAACGGATCCACCAAACTACAGCACATCTAGGCTGACCGAAAGCCCCGTCGCGACTCAGGCACATAAAATTGGCTTTGGGTGTAGGGAGTGCTGGTCTCTTGGGTGAGTTTCAGAGAAGAGCATATCTGGCAAGGAATGAAGAGAGAGGAACGTAATTGAAAGTGGAAAATTGTTCGGAGCAACTTTACCCACTGAGAAGAGAAGACGTTAGTGGCGTCCCACTAAGAAGAGCATCGGGCTCACGGGCTGCCGTCGGGCTGAGTGAGAAACTTTTTGCTGGTTCTCGCGAGAGTTTGCTCGAACGAAGCGGAAAAGAGAGAAAAATGCGTGAATAAGCTCTCGTGCTCGTAAGTCGTGCTCCGCATCAGCGACCAGCGAGGCAAAAAAAGGAAGAGTGACGGCTCGGCTCGATTCTAATTAGTTTTCATTCCAGTCCGTGGCAGTGCGGTAGTTTTCGCTTTTGGTGGTCTCGCGTTTTGATTGTTTTTCATCGTGCGAATCGATTTTAATCGTACGGGTAAGTGCAACCAGTGCATGCAGTGCGATAACCTTTGGCGTGGCGGCTCTACGTAGACTTAGTGCTGAAGAAATAGTGTATTGCGTAGAATATGTGTATGTGTATGTGTAGAATATGTATATGTGTATCGAAAATTATTATTATTATTATAGAGTTTAGGCACTTCTGAGCAAAATTGCTAGAAAATTTCTGGCTGTCTTTATGCCAAGGGGGTTAGGCTCTGTGAATATCATTCGTCGGTTGATTTATATCGTAATTTGTGTGCTTCGGTTGGATCAGTTATGATGGAACCACCGGACAGGTTCCAAGAATCACTGCTTTCTGAATGCTGTTCAGTTCTCTTCGTAGTTCCAACTCCTCAAGGGACTTACTAAGTTGCGCTTCAGTGCAAGTTGTTGGTGCACAATCTTAGCGACATCTTTGTGCCGAACGAGGTATGCCGCTTCTGCCAATGCTTAACATCCAGCAGCAACCTAAGAGGAAGAGGAGACAACTCGCACCAGCCACTTTGTCGACATGCGCTTGTTCCAACTGATGGGGATGCGTCCCATGCAGCTTCTTCAGCTTCCACGATGCGACTTTATCTTCGACAGTTTTCAAGTCGCAGCTCAGCTGTTAATCCTCCTGCGCCAGATGCAGGGCACTGAACCCGGGGTCTGCCTCACAGACAGCACGGTAGACTTCGTGACGGCTCTGGCTTTCTACGAAGTATCTCCGCAAATGCTAGATCTGGGAAACACGCTTGAATATCGGTGACGCCTCTTTAATACTTGGCAAGGTGACTCTCTCGACGGCTGACTTTGGGTGATGCATGCGATGTTTAGTGAACGCCACTCGTACTGCTCGTTCTATCGCCTCCAAGTCAGTGTTGGTCCACTTTATCACCCCGAAGCTGTAGGTCAACAAGGGCACGGCAAACATTTTTATCGCCTTCATCTTGTGCCGGCCGGGAGGAACGACCTCAGAACACGGTTGATACGATACAAGAACTTTTCCTGCAGCTCTTTCTTGATCGATGTATGGCGAATCCCCTTCAGTTGCAGAAACCCCAGGTACAGTACCCGTTAGATTTTGACAACAAGCCCGAAAATTTTGTGTTGCAAAAATCGAACCGTGCCAAAATCGAACGGTTATATTTTGAAATTTATTTTATGCTTCCAATGATTTGAACCCCCTAGGAATCATCTTTAAGTCCAAGACAACGTCTCGTTGAACGTCTAATTTTTTTTCCCGCTTATTAAACCGTATGTAAGAAAATGTCAACTCTCCCTCCCCGTTGCCAGAAACCGTAAGAAATGTTAAGACCTACCTGCCCCCCTATTCCCTTACATAATTTATGGATGACCCCTTTGTTATACAAATTAAATCAACCAAATTTTTTTGACGCAAATTTTATTGTATTTTGTCTGAATCGGAGTCGGAGTCGAGGAGTCGGAGTCGGTAATTTTCAAATCAGAGGAGTCGGAGTCGGTGAATTTTGATCTGACTCCACATCCCTGCCAGCAACTCACCGCGGCCCCCTTATATCCCACGGAGCTGGATGGTAAGGTAGGAGAAGAAAAGAAAATTCTGCGCACTTCGATTTTTTTGTATCTTTTGTTCCCATCGACCATTTTTTTTTAAAACCTGTTATCCTAGTGAAGCCTTTTTTATGCAATTGTTTGGACAACATTTGAAATCAATTCACAACATCATTTCAAATGAGGGGCTTGGAAGGAAAGGGGTGTAAGTGACTTTGATCGATTCTCTTAATCGACTTTCTCTTCTGATAACCATGGCTTTACACACAAATTTCGCGCTATTGCTGCCAGATAGTTTGATAAAGGAGGTTCTCATCTAGCATCCAGAACGGCAAACGCATCAAGGAATGTGTTTACATCTGAGTTATTAACGAAAGAGAAAGTCGATGAAGAAAATCGATCAAAATCACTTACACCCCTTTCCTTCTATCCCCCTCAAATAAAAAAATAAAAAAAAATCGCTAAGAATGGCCAAATTCGAAATTCAACGTATTCGCAACAACAAACTTTTGCATTCTGAGTGGTGATAATGAGCGGTAATATAGTTAAGTGTATCTATAAAAGTATATAAGGGTTTACAAATCCTTGAAACAGTAAAGAACAAACCACAATGCAGCCTTTGAAATGTACAAAAAAGCACTGTATAAAAGCTCAAAAAGGAACATATGAAAACAAACTTACTATGATTTTCATAAAATCAACTATTATTTCGCTGTAATATGCTCTTGACCTCAAAAAGTAAATTTGATGTTAATAACCTTTAAACTCAATTGATACCTTACCTTACCAATCAGGCTAAGGCCTTGTTGTCCTCTGCTGTCCGAAGAAGTCGTCTCCACTCTACTCGATCCATGGCCACAGTTCGCCAGCCTCGTAGTCTGCGAAGGGTCCGCAGGTCACCTTCTACTTGGTCGATCCACCTTGCCCGCTGCGCGCCTCTTCTTCTTGTTCCTGTTGGGTCGCTTTCTAGAACCATTTTCACTGGGTCGTCGTGCGGCATTCTTACGACGTGCCCAGCCCACCGTAGTCGCCCAATTTTTGCAATGTGGACGATGGATGGTTCTCCCAGCAGCTGGTGCAATTCGTGGTTCATTCGCCTCCTCCACGTTCCGTCATCCATCTGCACTCCACCGTAGATGGTACGCAACACCTTCCGTTCGAAAACACCAAGGGCGCGTTGGTCCTCCACGAGCATAGTCCAGGTCTCGTGGCCGTAAAGGACCACCGGTCTAATCAGCGTCTTGTAGACAGTCAACTTCGTGCGGCGGCGAATTTTATTCGACCGGAGCGTCCTCCGGAGTCCAAAGTAGGCACGATTCCCTGCCATAATGCGTCTTTGAATTTCTCTGCTGGTATCATTTTCGGCGGTCACCAGTGAGCCCAAATACACGAACTCATCGACCACCTCGATTTCGTCACCGTCAATCTGAACTCGGGGTGGGAGGCTAACATTGTCTTCCCTAGAACCTCTTGCTTTCATATATTTTGTCTTTGATGCGTTGATGGCAAGTCCAATCCGTCTAGCTTCAGCCTTCAGTCTGATGTACGTTTCCGCCATCATCTCAAAGTTCCGTGCCATAATGTCAATGTCATCGGCGAAACCAAGGAGCTGGATGGACTTCCTGAATATCGTGCCACTCGTGTCTATCCCAGCTCTTCTGATCACACCTTCTAACGCGATGTTGAACAGCAGACACGAAAGTCCATCACCCTGCCGTAACCCCCTTCGAGATTCAAAGGGACTCGAGAGTGTCCCCGATACTCGAACAACGCACGTCACTCGATCCATCGTCGCCTTGACCAATCGCGTCAGTTTATCCGGAAATCCGTACTCGTGCATAATCTGCCATAGCTGATCTCGATCGATTGTGTCGTATGCGGATTTGAAATCGATGAACAAATGATGTGTGGGCACGTTGTATTCGCGGCATTTCTGCAGAACCTGCCGAATCGCGAAAATTTGGTCCGTGGTAGCGCGGGCACCCATGAATCCCGCCTGGTATTGCCCCACGAACTCTCTTGCATATGGTGACAGGCGACGGCATAGAATTTGGGAGAGTACCTTGTAGGCGGCGCTCAGCAGTGTGATCGCGCGGTAGTTGCAGCAATCCAACTTGTCGCCCTTTTTGTAGATTGGGCATACGACACCTTCCATCCACTCCTCCGGTAATATCTCCTCCTCCCAAATCTTGGCAATTACCCAGTGCAGCGCTCTAGCCAGTGCTTCACCACCGTATTTCAATAGCTCACTTGGTAGTTGATCTACACCAGTTGCTTTGTTGTTCTTCAGCCGACCGATCTCCTCCTCAACTTCTTGAAGATCAGGGGCTGGTAGCCTGTCGTCTTCTGCGCGTGCTCCAAGGTCTGTTGCCGTGCCACCTTCGTTTTCTGCTGCTTCACCGTTGAGGTGCTCGTCATAGTACTGCTTCCACCTCTCAATCACCTCACACTCGTTCGTGAGAAGGTTACCGTCCAAGTCCTTGCACATATCGGCTTGCGGCACGTAGCCTTTGCGCGAACTATTTAGCTTCTCGTAGAACTTCCGTGTGTCGTTTACGCGGTACAGATTTTCCATCGCCTCGCGATCTCGATCTTCCTGCTGACGCTTCTTCCTTCGGAAAACCGAGTTTTGTCTGTTCCGCGCTTGTCTGTATCGCTCCACATTCAATCTCGTGCGGTGTTGCAGCATTCTCGCCCGTGCTGCATTCTTCTCCTCTACTAACAGTTTGCATTCGCCGTCAAACCAGTCATTTCTTCGGTCCGGGATTGCAGTACCTAGTGCCGCTACAGCAGTACTACCTATGGCTGAACGGATGTCCCTCCAGCCATCTTCAAGAGAAGCTGCGCCAAGCTGCTCTTCCGTGGGTAGTGCAACTTCCAGCTGCTGCGCGTAGTCCTGGGCAACTCCGGTGTCCCGTAGTTGCTCAATGTTGGGTCGTGGCGTTCGACTTCGACGTGTGTTATGCACCGTCGAGAGTTTTGAGCGCATGCATACTGCAACTAGGT